TTTGGTTTTATTTTTATGAAAGATTTGATATATACAATATTTGTTTCTCTTGAGTTGCTTAATGTAACACAAAACAGGGCATCATTGTTGTATCTTGAGAATTAAGGTTTCAAAGATCCTTGTTGACTTGGTCAACATTTAACCAAAATAATAATAAATAATAAAAGATATTAAAATAATAATATTTGATAATTATAATAAAAATCATTATTAATAATAAAGCCAAATAATAATCAGATGTTGACTTTAGTCAATCTTACAAAGGGTCAATGGGCCCCAAGAATTTCTTAAATGGACTAGTCTAATTACAAATGATACAATAGCCTTTTATTAAAATACACCCCTATTATAGACTTTAACCCCCACCCCCTTTCTTATTATTTTAACCGGACCAAACAAAATTGTCTTAATGGGCCATCAGATTTTGATGATCCATTTAAGGCAATACACCCCCTATTGGTTTTAAACCCCTCGCATGGTAATTTTCATAAATAAATTGAACAAAATAATTAGAGATTTAGAAATATAATAGTAATGTGACGGTCAAAATTGATAGGAAAGTTTTAGGGTATGACACACTTCATATGTTTTATAAACATTACATCACCCATCTTATCATTCACAACTTTTCAATAATGATTTACAATTTCACAGTTCATATCAATTCTACACATTTAACATAACTTCATATTGCAAACATAGACACAATATGACTCAATGCAACTCAAATACAATACTCATGCATCCGATACCAATCTCTTGTTATCATTTTTCTATTTTTACTTTAAACCAGGCCCGTTCACTAAACTGATAACATATCAAAAGCCCGTTCTCTAAGCTTTCAAACCCCTCTCGAGGTTTGAGACAAGTCACTAGCTCCCACAGAACTAATAAGCATTGCCTCTTGACAACAAATGATGCATGTGCAATTACAGCAACCATATGCAATTAATACCATTCTCTAATCTTAACATCCATTCATATCTTCAATAATTCATCACACTTGAATTACCACACATTTGCACATACAACACATGCTCATGAATTATTCATAAACAATTCATATTCATAGTATCACCACTACAAAACATCATCACAACACATATCAAGCAATACACAAAGTATCATTTCAATCCAACATTAATTTCACAAAACTCATGTTTCACACATAAATCAAGTTTCACGTCATTAACAAAAAAGTATTCCAAAATACATCAAACGAGTAGTTTCAAAATTATAAAATTAATTATTAATTACCATAAAACAAAAGGACGTATAATATCATATCAAACTAAGAAAAATATAAAATTTCATCTCCCAGGTCGCGCTAAGTGTGCTCATAGCGTCGACTTACAGAACTGTCTATGCTAAGCGCCCTCTGTGAAAATCAGAAAAATTCTTGCGATGACAACAACAAACCCATGCGATTCTTTAACCCCCAAACATGTTTTAACATCCAATTTTTTATGATTTAAGGTACTATAACCTATATTCGACATATATTTATCAACACAAATATCACAACATAATCACATACCAATTCCATGGATTCTCAATCAAAACCTAAGTAGTTCAAAACATGGAAAACTGGAGAAATCAATCTTAATACATGCCACTACCCATCATGCATTATCAACAATCCCAATAACCAAATGAAATCTCACCCTTACTTTGTTCTAGGTAGATTCTCCTAACTTTTGTGTTCTTACTCTTTTCCTCTTTCTCGCTCTTCTTTTTTTCTCGTGAAAACCTTTTTCTCTTCTCTTTTGCTAATCCTCTTACTAACTCTATTTCTTTTCTTTTTATTAAACTCTTACAAAACTAAATCTAGTAACCACTAATGGACTTACTAATACACACCCTCATATTACTCTTCCCTTCTCACTCAATAGGCCTAATTACCTATATTCTATAATTTCTATATAATTATCACCAATAAAATAATTATTTACCAACCAACATCAAAATTAACTATAATTCTACAGTTATCCATATTAACCCGACTAACCTATCACATAGCACATATCTCAATTAATCATTTATTTCACAAAATAAAACAAATTATATATATATATATATATATATATATATATATATATATATATATATATATATATATATATATATATATATATATATATATATATATATATATATATATATATATATATATATATATATATATATATATATATATATATATATATATATATATATATATATATATATATATATATATATATATATATATATATATATATATATATATATATATATATATATATATATATATATATATATATATATATATATATATATATATATATACACACACACTAAAATTAGGGTGTTACAGGTGTGACCGATTACGATTATGTATTAACTGGTTAACACTAAAGCAGTGATATTTTTTGACATAAAATCTGATTCCAACGAATGTTAAAATGAATCTATCAATCATGACATTGTTTCATGATATCATGCTTCTTCAAAAAGGTATTATTCTGATATAAATACCTAAGATTTCATATTTTAAAAATTCACCTCTTTCGTTATAATTCGAACTCAAACTTTAAAATTCAACCAAATGCCTTAACTCATAAATTTTGTGAAACTTATGCATTCAATTTCACTACATCATTAAAATGTTTCATCAACTCATTTCTGAACACATGTGTAACATATTTGTGAATTGTTTACTTGAAAGAGAAGATCAATTCTAAAATTGAAAATCGTTCAAAGCACCTATTTCACCCCTCCCCCTCCCCTCTTAGGAGTACTCTGTACTTATAATCAGATTCTGTTAACGAGCGTTGACGAGAGAGAACAAAAGTGTGGACGAAAAATATTAGAAGGATGATTCTTTAACGAAATTCTTTTGAAGAATTAAAAGTGAAAATGACTATATTTATAGGGACTAAAAACATATTTAATCATAATATTTTATTTGTATTTAATTTATTGTAACTTTAATATTAATATAAAATAAATAAAATTGAACTTAAATTTTTAAATAATAATTAATTCTAATCTTAAATGCATGAGATGCACATAAAAATAAATAACATTATATAATTAGTAGTATTTAAATTTTGTCATGCTCATTTTCAAAGCGCTCCAAAATATATAACACTAAATTTATTTGTAGTTGTCGATAAATCTTTTTTTATGAAGGCTTGCACTACTTTATAGTTTTTTTTCTTGCAAGATTGACATGTGAACCGTTAAATTTTTTTGTTGTTGAGATTTTGTTACTCAGGTTATCATAAGAGGAAACAAAATATCCTTCATATATGTGTTGTTTGTCTTCAACAATCATGTTGTATAAAAAGATGCAAGCATCTATAGTATGTTTAAGGATTTTTTTGTGTCGCTCACTCCCTAAACACATATAATTGCAAATCGAGATTGAAGCACTCTAAATATTAGCTCAACATCCTCTTAATTGGTTCTTGATGTTGGAGAAATAATTTTCTCTTTCCTCTTCCCGACATTGCAATATCTAGACAAATGTAGCTCACTCACGATGCATATCATCAACTAGATAATATCCTATATTGAACAGTGGAACTATGTCCTTTCAAAATATCGCTAAATGTTTTGGATTGGTTTAACACATTAATGTCATTGTTTGATCTCCAAAACCAAAAATGCATGTCAAATCCATAATTTTTATGATACCACTGGTTCAAGCATGATCGAGTACCACGATCACTTCGAAACATGATTTCTCATTTGTAAAAGAGGATCAACCTCATTATTACTATATTTTCTCATATACTCAACTGTCTATCTGCCACCTTACAAATCTCTCTAAGTATTCAAATTACAAATCTCTCTAAGTATTCAATTGTAGTATTTTCACCGATTCAAATATATTTGTCTGCAATGACAGTAGGAGATTCATATGCCAGCATACAAATAGGTGTGATCCATTTTTGTAATGGTGAAAGACTCATTTTACTAATTGCCTCTGCTTCATTGAAAAGACTCATCATAATTTTTAAGGGTGGTTACAATTTGATGAAACGTGCTTGTGCATTCAAAACCTTCTTGAACATCTCTGTTCTTTTTGAGAAATATTTAGTCGATGCTCCGATCGACATAGGTTCATTTTTTTTTTTAAACTTTCGTCTTGCATAATAATGATTGAATAATGCAACTACATCTTGAGGGAAAAAAACATGGACATTGACCAATATATCTTTCTAAGGTAACACTTTACTTTCCATAAACAACTTATTTGTACTACCCAACAAGTTTTTTGAACAATTCATTTATTTGATGTTATCAAGATTTTAATTACAAAAAATTATCTGTTTTTTATCAGCTCACACAATTGAATCTTTTGAATAATTGCATAAGAAATATATGCAAATAGCTTGAGGTTTCTTTTAACAGAATGTCTTTCCCTTTCAATTATAATATCTTCAAGGCCAATTTAAATTGTAATATTATCATAACTATAAAATTAAAATAGAAATTTGAGAATAAAGATATTTTTTCTACATTTGAAAGATGATAATTTCTTTTATTTAATATGAATGAAATATCGTTGTAAAATGGATTTCCACTAACCAATAACATCTCACTATATTGCCAAACAAACTCACTTTGCAATTATTTTTAAAAAATAATGTAAAATCTTCATAACCTCATTAGATTGATTTCTGTATAAAACTGTTCATATTTACAATGCATGTGTCATTTTCTCTTCTCTTCTTTGGTCCGCTTCAATTGTTTTGGTCTCATTTTAGATCCTTCTATATGAAATTTTCACCTTTGGTTCTTGGAGATGTAAAAACTAGGATGTACGAGATTACCTCACAACAAATCTTGTCATGTGTTATTAATTTCCATGATTTCTGTACATCTTACTAAGAATGAATAGCTACAATTTCTTTCATTGGTTGGTACAATGATGACTAATAGTACGAACAAAGCTCTGTATCTGACAAAGCTAGCGGTAGAGATCAAACCTATTTCCATAAATGTGAAACTTATTCTTTTGGCACAAAAAATAAAAATTCACCTTTGGCCCTCCTTTTTAGCGAAAACATTAACTTGGATATGAAGATAAACAAATTCACAATAAGCTTTGACGTATATTTTGAAACATGTACAACTTCCAGAACAATGCAGAACCTTATAACAACACGGGGATCCCTATCCCCGTCAAAATTGACACTGATAGTGTGCAACAGAACTATCATTCCTCGTAAAATATCAGAATCAGTTTGACAGCAAAGAAAAGTGGAAAACATACAGATGACCAACAATAATATAATGAAATCAAGAAACCAGCATCAGGACTTAGCGAGCCGCTTGACTATGGCAGCCATATATTTGCCCTGATGCTCAGCAAGTGCGAGCTCTGTTTCACTTGGCTCTCTTGTGCCATCACCTGCAAACACTCCTGCACCATATGGAGAACCACCTCTAATCGAATCCAAATTGAACATTCCAGGTCCAAATGTATAACCAATAGGAACAAACAGCATTCCTTGATGTGCCAGCTGAGTGATCGCCGTCCAACTGTAATAAAAAGCAAAATAAAATATCAGTGTCTATGTTCCATGCCTAATTTCACTCAGGGAGTTTCAAAGTGGCTCTATCTATCAATTATATATTTCATTCATATGGAAAGATGAACAAAAAATCTATCTACAATGGTAAAAAGAAATAAAAAGAAGATTACACGGTTTTTTAATCTTCTACAAAAATCAATAGCTGAACTGCATGTACATGTTTAATAGTCCACGCCAATAGTCAATAGACTCAATACAAGGGTCATAATTTTAACTTTTGCATCTGAAGAGTCAAATATATATTCCAAACAGCAGACAGTCACTTAAATAGTTCAATCTAATACATTCTTCAAATACAACTTATTTTCCTGTCTACAGGATCTTCCGGTTACCAAGTCAATGTAATCCACCACAAGATTAAAGTGAAATCTTTGTCCACTTGTTTTACACCATACTGAAAATTTTGTAGCTCAACTGCGGTTATCCCTTAATAAGCTTTGCTTATTACCATGAGCTTGACATAACCATCTTTTGATATCACCCACACATGATAAATGAAAATTCAGTATGTTGGTAATCTAGATGTGAATATAAACCATCAGTACTAACATGTAAGTCACTTGAACTCCAAAATAAGTAGAAATTTTATTTTGTCTAACATACTCATCAACTTAAGCCATGGAAAAGCTGAGATTACTCTCTGATGCAGCAGAAGAAATTCCCTGTCAGTTAAAACCAGAAACATCATATGTATTCAAAACTTATGGAGCTACAACAGTTTGGATGGCCTACTAAGTGTGTGTGTTTGGAAACAAAGTGAACCACCACCACCTCACGTTTAACACTCTTTCCAGTGTGGTTTTTCTGAAGCTACAATAGTAAACTTCTTGAGAATGCCAAACATAAGCTAAGCAATTTCTGTGCTGCTAATAAAGATGTTTCTTACACCCATTGGATCATACTAGGCAATAGCAAAATAACAAGCACAGTCTTTCCCTCTTTACCAAGAAACAGTGCTGAACACAAGCCTCTGAACATAAATTGACAGACTACCAGACTCTACATACATGTTTAAGCGAAACACTTATAATTCAGCCCTTGAAAAGCCCATGTTCATTGCAAATGTCCAGCCAATTCCACAATGCACTTTCAATTTCTATCATTATGATTATCTATTCATTCAATATCTTGGACATCAAAACCCATCTTTCATCTAATGTAAAAGTAAACCAGCTATTATTAAAGTTAACTTCAAAAGTGTCCGACCTTTATATATTTTAGGTTTTCATCACCAGTACCTCGACTAATTGGGTTCGGGGCGAGTTCTAAAGTGCCAGACCTTTGCACTATTCAAAGTTGAAGCATCAAAATGACAAACCTTCAAAGCAACATTAAAACAAACACATTCAAAGCAATTTAATTGACATAACAAACCAAATTTCGAGTATGAAATTCTGAAGATAAACATTAACACACACAAAAATTAACTTTACTAAAAATAACTGAATGCAAAAAGTTCTATAGAAGAAATACTGACGCGGTGGTTTCTTGACCGCCACCTTGAGTACCAGTACTAACAAAGAACCCAGCCGGTTTCCCGGCAAGCTTCTGCCCCTGCCACAAACTCCCCGTGGAATCAAAGAAAGCCTTCATTTGCGCCGCCATAGAGCCATACCTAGTCGGAAACCCAAACAAAACACCATCAGCAGCCGGAAGCTCCTCGGGCGATATCACCGGAATAGTTTCATCTTTCGGCAGCGCTTTCATCTGATTCAAGACCTCAATCGACAATGTCTCAGGTACTCTGTACAAAACTCCTTCCACACCTTCGACGGCGTCCACGCCTTGCTTCAATCTCTTCGCTAAACCTTCCACGTGGCCGTACATGGAGTAGAAGACGATGAAGATTTTGAGTTTTGCTGCGTCCGTAAGCGGTGTTTCTAGGATTGATTCTTCGGATTCTGTGGCGGCTCTCGGCGGAGATTCTTCGGCTACCGGCGGTTGTTTTTTCTTGCTGGGAACACAGCCTCCTCCTTTTCCCATTGAGAAAATAGGGAATATGAAATGTGAATTTCAGAGGTGAGAGTTGAGAGTTGGGTTCTTGGGATGAACGAATGAAATGATGATGAATATTTACGACCCTACCCAACCTAATTAATTCAAACGGACGCTTTACCACTTTTTTGTCTTGTCAAAAGGAATTCGGACAAAATTATGTGAAAAAAATAATTATAATTGAACTATTACTCATGTAAAATTAATTTTAGTTTAAAGTCTATTGAAACTATAATTATTTATGTTTGTACAGTTAAAAGCTCAGTTGGTAGATGGTTCAAGCACAGAGAAAACCGATTTTTTTTTTTTTATAAGGTTCAAAGAAGTTTTGTCGATTATTGCTTCTCCCTTTGTTGTCACTATCCTTCTCTCTAACCTTATTAACAGCCCATTTGCAGTATGATAGATTATGAGTATTTTTTTATCTTCACGATTTAAGCTACTTTCATGACATTAAGAACGTTTTGAGATTCAGTTGCTACGAGGTTACTGTACCCTCTCATATTCCAAGTAATTGACCATGACAAAGGAGTGGGTCATGAACGATTTTTTCCTCTCATAAATTCAAACTTAAATTTTTAAATAGTCTTTGTTCTCGGTCTCAAACCTAAACAAAGATGAATAATTAAAACTCAAACTTATCTCATATGAATTTGGGTTGGATTCGGATATATCTGTCTCATCACCATCCATTTAATAAAATTAATTTTTTAAATAAAAATATTTATTTTTTCCAAAACTTGAGAGGGTCAGATATTGAATCATACACACCCTTATACTCTCTTACTTGTATTAAGCTTTGAACTTCACTATGACATCAGAGTGTCTTGCAGATACCTCTCTCACTTCACATTCAACTGTTGCTCAACTCGAAGCTTATGGATTTTGACAATCCATTCTAGTCAGGTATGATCATAAATAATAAATTAAAATAGTCTAAAAAAATTACATACATTTCGAATATTCTAAATGATAAATACAAATTAAATTATCAAAATATATGCCACATATTTAATATTCTAAATTATCAAAAATAAATAATAATATACATATAAAATAAATGGGGCGGATTCAGGACGGGTTCGAAGTGTGTATTAATGTTCCCATTAGCCAACTCATTCCTATATTTTATAATCGAGGAAAACTCAAACCCAATCAAAGTAGATTTTCTCCGTCAACTTTGAGGTGGGTTCGGGTGGGCATTCGCATATACGAGTTTTGCTGTCATGCCTACAAGTAATCTCTCTTATATTCTCGTTCATTTAATTCATGAATATCTCTTCAAGGTTCCAAGCTCCCCTGTAGTCATGTTAGCATAATTGTTTATAATAATTAAATTGTTTTTATGCTGCTTATCTTTGATGATCTTTGGTTCAACATCTTTATGATTTGGGTTGGAACCCTCTTTTTATTTCTATTACTATATTGGAAGTAAATAATAATTCAAATGTATTTAATAAGTTATTGAAAGTTGATTGGAGGATTCAGCTTATCAAATAAGCATTTCTGAAAATTAAATAAGTTGTTTTTTGGGGCGCTAACAAGTTATAATGTTTGGCGTAACTGGTTACCAACCCATGTTTTTGGTTTTTCAGTTTATTTATTTTATGTTTTTTTATCTCAATTCTTGTAGCTTGTTTGTATAAAAACCCTATGTGATATAGTGTGTAAAGTTAATGAAATTTTCTCTTTTCACCCTCAATTACTCTTTCTCGCTCTAATTCTCATATTTTCCCACTTCATCTTCTCCACAAGCACATAAAACCTCCATTGATCCAATTGAATGTTCTAATATTTGGCACCAAGAGCTCAGGTTCTGATCCACAATCCACTGTACAAAGATGACTACCGTCTCCAACGATCGAGTCCTCACTAATCTTTCAACCCTTGATTCGAAGAATTACGATAAATGATGCAAGTAAATGAATGTGTTATTTGGCTACCAAGATGTTCTTGAAGTGGTAAACAATGGAGTTACTCCCGTTATTGCAGGGGAAACAGAGGCACAAAAGGTTGGACACAAGAAAGATAAGAAGAAAGACTACAAGGAACTCTTCTTGATCCATTCTTGCGTCAATAATGACAACTTTTAAAAAGTTGGTGATTGTGATTCGGAAAAGCAAGCATGGGAGATCTTGAAGAAGGCTTATGAAGAGGTTGATAAGCAAAGGTGGTGAGGTTACAAACTCACAAGTGACAGTTCAAATTGGTTCAAATGGAGGGGAATGAGACAATCATGACTAAATAATGTGCATTACGCTTTTGGTGAATCAAATCAAGTCTTGTGGAGAAACTGTTTTGGAGCAAAATGTTGTATCAAAAAATCTTGCACTCTTTGACACCAAGATTTGACAACATTATAGTGGTGATTGAAGAGTCGAATGATCTTCCAACGTATATAAAATATGAGCTTCAAATCTCTCTTGAGGCTCATGAGCAAAAGGTGGTTGAGAGGAGTAACGATAAGGCAAAGACAGAGATCGCTTTGCAAGCTCGGTTCAATAAGAAGAACAAGAAGTCGAAAGGAAAATGACCCATGAAAAGTAAAGGGAATTTTCATAATTTTGGTGGAAGAGAAAATTTGAAAAAAATCGACTTATCAAAGGGGTGATAGCAGCTACTACAAACATGGTGGTAAAAGCAACTTTAGAGGTGAAAGAGGAAAGTTTGACAAGAGTAAG